TCTTGTTTTGGAAAGGAAGGATTTTCTCTGTCAAGGCACAGCTGAGTTATACGAATACGAGTTTTATATCCATTTTAATGATTGCCATTTCCCGTTAGTCTAATGGTATTCAATAACGTAACTCCATAAAGCTAGTATACAAACGTGAGTCATAGGATTTTTCATTTGTTTCTATCACATTCTGATTTAATGTTCATAACTGGTAGGTAATAAAAAAAATCATAATAATACCTAATAAAGTATATAATAATAATAACAAAAATAATAATGATAATAAAATTACAATGAAAACAACAAAATAAATAAATAATAATAATAAAATTAATTAAATTAGCATATTTGTTTTAGCAAATGCAGTATAGCATAAACTACAGTATTATAACATAAACTTTTATAAACATTGTAGATATGTATGTACTTGAAGAAGGCATATAAATATAATAAAATATACATTTTAAAATAGTCATCTTATATGCTATAATACAAAAATACAGTATAAAAATTAGGTTAATTTTTAGTCTGTTTAATCTGTTTGAAAAAAAATGTGAATCTCTAGCTAAGGTTTTTTTTTTTTTTTGCGGTTCTTTTTTCTCCATGTTTTCAGCATGCTAGCCATAAGATTCACCCTAGAATGTTTATGAGTTTACCATAGATTCCTAGCCGTGAACTACATGCAACGGTTCCAACATGGATTCTTATATCTAAAGCTGTATTTGGTATTCACAGGGACTAAAACAGTTGACGAGTAGATTCAACGTCTGGGGACACGGTGCAAAGAGGAATTTCGTATAAGTGTGTGAAATTATACGATCCAAATTTGTCACCAGGTTCCTGCTGTGGGTTCACGCGACTTATGCTCATTTACATTGATTGATGAATATTTTATATATAGCACTATGATTGTAATTGATAACGATAGAGTCGTTGATAACAGCCTGTCTTTTGAAATTATAAACCTTCCTCCCAGAATTTGTGCATAGTCTAATTATTTTTTTCGTTAAATCTATCTGTGTTGAACTGATAATCTTCAACAATAAAATTCAACTTACGTTTAATGTTTATACTTACGTAAGTTAATTAAAGAGGATTACTACAAAATCATAAAAACTAAAAACAGTAATACCATCTTCGCGTATCAGATAGTTTGTAGATTTTGCGGTAGGTAGTCTGATAGGCCTAAACAAATAAAATTTACATTGTTTCCATCTCTGTCTCTTATCTGTAATCGATAACTTTTCAAATGAGCAATTTAGCTATTAATTTAAATGTGCTTGAGATGTTTTCGATATTGTAACTCAGATGTAAAATTGTTTAATTGAAATGTTTATGTTGTGCTTGTCATCAACATTTTCTTTTTTATATACTTATGTAAAACACGTATAAAGGCCTATAGATATAGGCCTACTGTACACTGGCCTATACAGATACATATACACTTTATAGCCAATAACATTGTGATTGTTGTGATGCAGTGCCCATGACTGATACAATTCAGTGGTAACAAAGAAAATAGACAGCAATATACAAACATAATTGCTATTCATAATATTTCCAACTTGGTAGGTACAATAATGTTTTAAACTTTTTAGTTATTCTATCAGATCTCGAATCATTTATATTTTCTTAAATTTTAATTATTATTTATTATATAATATATTATACTAGGTCTATTAATAATAGGTCCACTATTTGTACTATTTGTATCGTTTGTTTGTAGGCGATAAAAATCAATGATAAATTGAGATGGATATATTATATTTGTCATCAGTATTTAGTTGGTTTTCATACTATTATATATACATATATATATATAAATACATATTTATAAATATATATATATAATATTATATATACATGTATATACTATTATACTACGTAGGCCTATGGCCCATTAATTATACTTTATTCGATTGTGTGTATATGAATGCGTTATAAATCATATCAGATTGTTTAAACATGTTAACAATACAGTCTAATGTATATGGATAGTAGCCTATGGGGATAAGTTTGTTAGAGCTTTGTTTACTTTCTATAGATGCTTTAGCAGCAGACATAAATATAATCCCATAACGTCCAGCACCACATAAGTCTACAATATGGCAATGAAATAATTATAGCCTAACTAAGCGCAAGATGTTGTAACACTTTTAACAAACATTCTCCTCCGATGCGACCTTTTGCATGTGTTTCCTCGGTGTCTCCGTTAATCTGAATTCTAACACATACATATAAATATTAAAACACTTTTCTTTTAATATAAGATCAGTCATGTCTGGACGGGAAAAGCCCTTAGGACGCTGTTTATTCGTTCTTAGTTCTACGCGAGTGAACAATGATGGCCATGTCAGCACACGCAGTGATAGGCCCATGATATTATCATTTTTATGGGGTGTTTGGAATAGGTACATACGTTAAAGGAATTAGGCCTTTGTTCAACATACACAATTAGCAGGAAACTGTGTTGAATTTATCTTCTGGGTTATTTGACCTATTTATTATTTAAAAAAACGATACATGATGTTAAATAAGAAGTTCTATTATTAGACGTAATGTACACATGTGCACATATTATATGAGAGCTAAATAACTAATTAGCTGAACTTAACCTAAAATTAAATGTAGATATAACCTATTTGTGTTAAGTGTAAATCGTATCATTCTTCAGGTCTAGGCCTAGATCTCCGTGTTTTTATTTTTTGATTGCGGTCAACCGACGCTTTATAACCGCGGAGACAGCGATGAGTTCACCTTGACTGGAGCCTCGAAAGATGTTCGTGAGTAGGGCTTGAAACATGAAGCATACTTAAGATTAACAAGTTAGTTAACGCAAAATAATCTGCGGTTTAGAGATGGTAGTAACCTAAGCATGTGTTTATTTTGCCTCACAGAAGGAGAGCACTTGTAAGAAGCATCAATTTCTGAATGTCTTTACATAGGCTACTGCTTACTGATATTATTACACTCTTTAATAACAACATGTATCAAAAGTGCACAGTCAGACATAGGCTATATATATTATTGAATATATATATATATATATATATATATAGGTATAATACATTTTTATCAAGTTGCTGCTTAGCACTGGTAACAAAAATAATGTATAAATCAAATTAATATGAAAAAAAAAAACATAAGGAACTTTTGTTGACGAAATATGTTTGATGCTATTTATAACACCATGTTCCCCTATATTTGAGCACTGTATTATTATCTATTTGATTTATACATTAATATATATATATATATATATATATATGCCTATAGGCCTATATGTATAATATATTTTTATTTATTCATTTATTTTTAAAAAACTTATATACCAGTTTTCCACATAATTAGCCTACGATGTATCATCATGTCCTTATTAAACACTGTATATCTACCTTTGATGATTTATATTAAATTTATTCAACAGTGTTAATGGCTAACTTCCTTCAATATCATATATATATATATATATATTATATATATATATTATATATATGTACATGTATATGTATATGTATATATATAGGCCTATAAATATATATACGTATATATAGGCCTATATACATATATATATGCAAATATATGCCATGAATATATACATATATATGCATGGATAATTAGCATAGCATTACAACATTTAATTATTTCTTATTATTCTACAGACTTTTAGTATGTTTGGTAAGCCTATTATTATTATTATTATTGTTGCTATTATTATTATGGTTATCAAAATATTCAAAGAAGTAATATCATTTATATCACTAACATTATAAAATTTGTTAGGATTATTATTATTTAGTCTTTGTGAATATTTTCATTCTTCAATTTGTTTTATTACCATAATGAATAGTCATTATAATGATAACGAATACACAACTAACTGCAAAGGGAATCCCGAAAGCACTATTTTTAATTTTACAATTTACTGATTATAATGTTTTATACTTGTCAAAAGTCATGGGGAATCCCCGACGAAGTTCACTCATGCCTGGACGACGGGTTTGCGTCTAACGAGTTAGCAAACAGTTGCAATTCAATGCCATTCAACCGAGAACGAAATCAGAATAAGTTTTGTACGCTCCATTGGAGCCGTACATAACAGTGAACACCTTCGAAACAAAAACAAAACTAATAGTAATACTACGTAATAAACCCTCACACTGACCAACACTGCATCGCCTGCTAATGATAATAAAAAAAAATCAACGACAGATTTATATTCCGATGGTTTAGCAAAATGAAATACGCAAATATTGCATATTAAATGAGCAAATTACTCTATACGAAATTAGGATATTTTCCCGTCATGGTAGCCAGCGGGGCCAATTTGTATTCATATTAGCTTTAAAGTCATTCTGTGATATTTTACCAGGCCAATGATCTTGATTGCCTTACTGCAATGTGGATTGACCTGACGACGTTTACCATACAGTCGAATAATTTCTTTTCTCATTGTGATAATCGCAAATTATTCATTCACTTTACGAACATTTATGATTGAAATTCGTACCACCCTCTAACCATGCGGACATGCATAACGAACAAAAACATTGGCACACTACACACTACAGTATAATCATCAGTATAACAGTCTCAGTATTCATACAGAGTAACATGTATGATAAACGTGTCATTATTATTGGTTTGTTAAAGACATCTTGAATATACGCCATAATATTATTACTGTAATTATTTCATCGATATTACTTTTAAATTGATTTTTTTTTCGTTATGAAACTGCTAATTTTGTTAAGGTATGACAGGTTTATCGTCAGATTTCGTCTCCAATCAGGAAACCAACGGGACGGGAAAATCAATTAAGTATATTTTCTTAATATAGTATTTGTACTAAGAACTTAATTAAGAAAAAAACTATTTAAAGCTAAAATCAGTACACCTAAGTAATCACTGTAAAACAACGATAATAACTGTGTTTCGTATAGATTTCGAATTACGCACACTTTTGGGGGTTGCAAAGCTATTATAAATAAACGTGTATTGAAACTTACTTTTACAGCTTCCATGTGGGACCGGATGGTGGCCGGGATGGCGATGGTGTAGATCCATCAGCATTGGCATTCCCGAGGTAGGAACCTGCCTGATGGAAGAATATTCCATCTCTATACAACCGTTAAACAAAATTTTACAACGAAAAACTTATCGACTGTGACGAAATATCCACCAAATGCGATGGTCCACGAAAAGCGTACAATAAATTGCTGATATAAAAATCAGATATGAGTTTGAAGAAATCGCCAGTCCATAAAAAATAAAATCGTTGGTCGTGAAATTGACTTCTGTGTGTTACACGAAGTATTTTTATGAAATCTTGAAATAAGTCTAGCCTAGAAAAATAGGTAGGCTAGTGGGTAGGCCTATTGAACCGTGTTGACTTCGCGGACTTATCGTCGTTTCTTCCGGAGTGCTACGCTGTCGTCCTCAACGCTTGACAGGTTAGTGTTTTATCTTGCGCATCCGACCATGGGTTGATTTCTTATGGGCCAGACTAACCATATAATCTTATTTCTAATTGGCTGATTACTTGGCTAACATTGCCACTGATCGTTTATTTAATCTACTCTCTAATTGGCTATCAGCTTGAACTTGGGATCTCGGGTTCGGAAAGCGCATGCGCGGTTTTTAAACCCAATCAACAGACTTGTGGGTTGGTCTTAAATACTCCGAATTGTATAGGTTGTATAATTACCAGCACTACAATGTATGTACATGATCGTTTGTTAAATATAAAAGATAGCGAGACGTCAAGATGAGAAGTTTACAAGGCTCCGTGCACGTGTTTGGTTGAGAACTTCACATCGAAACATATCAATCCAGTAAACAGGCTCTAAATACACTTGCTTTTTTTTAATAAGAACCAGTAAAATTTTGTCGAGGATCAGTGTTCTTACTTTTTGTCGATATTTTGTTCTTATTTTACACACTTTTCAAAAATAGAAAATTATTATTGTATTAAGCAATTTCAGTCTCAGTGTTCTTATAAAATGTGAAATGTGTTCGTATAAAAAAAAATATTGTAGCAGCCTAAGGACTAATTCTTATCGTGCATGAGATAATATACGGGAAAAATAGATTCATTTTATAACTCATCACGGGAAGGTTTTTGATTTTAATTTTCAATTCTGTCGATGAATATTAGATGAATAATCAAATGGGGTAATAATAATCGACGTTAAGTCAGCGATTGAAAATCACTTTGCAACATAGGCCTGTATGTTTTATTTTCGTATTATAAATATTATAGCAAACGTATGAGTAGATGGATTAATAAAGAAAGCGTTTAATTTCATTTTTAGTAGAAATAAAATTAAATACTGTATATTGTAAAATTCCGATACTGTTATCTAAAAATGAATTTACTAAATTGTACTTAACTTTATGCTCTAAGAATTACATTAAAAGTAATTTGTTGATTTTAACAGCTTCCAGACGATATGTAAATATATGACTTACATAAGATTAACGGTGAGGAAGTACACAGGCGTGTCCGAAACATTCGGTATATAAGTTATATATACACAAAATAATTAGACAAACAGGACAATGAATATGGATATATAATATTTCGATTAATTTTGGTTTTAAGTAAACAAATTATTTCACCACTGACAAGGACTAACGTCTTGATAATTTTGTTTTACTATCTGGATGTTTACACAACTTTTGTTATATATATATATATAT